GACCACTTCTCACCTGTCCAAACCGTCTCTCACCTGTCCTGACCACTTCTCACCTGTCCTAACCGTCTCTTACCTGTCCTGACTGTGTCTCACCTGTCCTGACCGTCTGTCTCACCTATCCTAACCGTCTCTCACCTGTCCTAACCGTCTGTCTCACCTGTCCTGACCGTCTCTCACCCATCCTGACGTGTCTCACCTGTCCTGACCGTCTCTAACCTTCTCTCACCTGTCCTAACCGTCTGTCTCACCTATCCTAACCGTCTCTCACCTGTCCTGACTGTCTCGCACCTGTCCTAACCATCTGTCTCACCTATCCTAACCGTCTCTCACCTGTCCTGACGTGTCTCTCACCTATCCTAACCGTCTCTCACCTGTCCTGACGTGTCTCTCACCTGTCCTAGCCATCTGTCTCACCTATCCTAACCGTCTCTCACCTGTCCTGACTGTCTCTCACCTGTCCTAACCGTCTGTCTCACCTGTCCTAACCATCTGTCTCACTTATCCTAACCGTCTCTCACCTGTCCTGACTTTCTCTCACCTGTCCTAACCATCTGTCTCACCTATCCTAACCGTCTCTTACCTATCCTAACCATCTCTCACCTGTCCTGACTTTCTCTCACCTATCCTAACCATCTGTCTCACCTATCCTAACCGTCTCTCACCTGTCCTGACGTGTCTCTCACCTGTCCTAACCGTCTGTCTCACCTGTCCTAACCGTCTCTCACCTGTCCTGACCACTTCTCACCTGTCCTAACCGTCTGTCTCACCTGTCCAAACCGTCTCTCACCTGTCCTGACCACTTCTCACCTGTCCTAATCGTCTCTTACCTGTCCTGACTGTGTCTCACCTGTCCTGACCGTCTGTCTCACCTATCCTAACCGTCTCTCACCTGTCCTAACCGTCTGTCTCACCTGTCCTGACCGTCTCTCACCCATCCTGACGTGTCTCACCTGTCCTGACCGTCTCTAACCTTCTCTCACCTGTCCTAACCGTCTGTCTCACCTATCCTAACCGTCTCTCACCTGTCCTGATTGTCTCTCACCTGTCCTAACCATCTGTCTCACCTATCCTAACCGTCTCTCACCTGTCCTGACGTGTCTCTCACCTGTCCTAACCGTCTCTCACCTGTCCTGACATGTCTCTCACCTGTCCTAACCGTCTGTCTGACCTATCCTAACCGTCTCTCACCTGTCCTGACTGTCTCTCACCTATCCTAACCATCTGTCTCACTTATCCTAACCGTCTCTCACCTGTCCTAACCGTCTGTCTCACCTGTCCTGACTGTCTCTCACCTGTCCTAACCGTCTGTCTCACCTATCCTAACCGTCTCTCACCTGTCCTGACGTGTCTCACCCGTCCTGACTGTCTCTCACCTGTCCTAACCGTCTGTCTCACCTGTCCTGACGTGTCTCACCCGTCCTGACCGTCTCTCACCTGTCCTAACCATCTGTCTCACCTGCCCTGACCGTCTCTCACCTGTCCTGGCCGTCTCTCACCCATCCTAACCGTCTGTCTCACCTATCCTAACCGTCGCTCACCTGCCTTAACCGTCTGTCTCACTTTCCTGACTGTCTCTCACCTGTCCTAACCATCTGTCTCACCTATCCTAACCGTCTCTCACCTGTCCTGACGTGTCTCTCACCTGTCCTAACCATCTGTCTCACCTGTCCTAACCGTCTTTCACCTGTCCTGACTGTCTCTCACCTGTCCTAACCGTCTGTCTCACCTGTCCTAACCGTCTCTCACTTGTCCTAACCATCTGTCTCACCTATCCTAACCGTCTCTCACCTATCCTAACCATCTCTCACCCGTCCTGACGTGTCTCTCACCTGTCCTAACCGTCTGTCTCACCTGTCCAAACCGTCTCTCACCTGTCCTGACCACTTCTCACCTGTCCAAACCGTCTCTCACCTGTCCTGACCACTTCTCACCTGTCCTAACCGTCTCTTACCTGTCCTGACTGTGTCTCACCTGTCCTGACCGTCTGTCTCACCTATCCTAACCGTCTCTCACCTGTCCTAACCGTCTGTCTCACCTGTCCTGACCGTCTCTCACCCATCCTGACGTGTCTCACCTGTCCTGACCGTCTCTAACCTTCTCTCACCTGTCCTAACCGTCTGTCTCACCTATCCTAACCGTCTCTCACCTGTCCTGACTGTCTCTCACCTGTCCTAACCATCTGTCTCACCTATCCTAACCGTCTCTCACCTGTCCTGACGTGTCTCTCACCTATCCTAACCGTCTCTCACCTGTCCTGACGTGTCTCTCACCTGTCCTAGCCATCTGTCTCACCTATCCTAACCGTCTCTCACCTGTCCTGACGTGTCTCTCACCTGTCCTAACCATCTGTCTCACCTATCCTAACCGTCTCTCACCTGTCCTGACGTGTCTCTCACCTGTCCTAACCATCTGTCTCACCTATCCTAACCGTCTCTCACCTGTCCTGACTGTCTCTCACCTGTCTTAACCATCTGTCTCACCTATCCTAACCGTCTCTCACCTGTCCTAACCATCTGTCTCACCTGTCCTAACCGTCTCTCACCTGCCCTAACCGTCTGTCTCACCTGTCCTGACCGTCTCTCACCCATCCTGACGTGTCTCACCCGTCCTGACCGTCTCTCACCGTCTCTCACCTGCCCTAACCATCTGTCTCACCTATCCTAACCGTCTCTCACCTGTCCTGACTGTCTCTCACCTGTCCTAACCGTCTGTCTCACCTATCCTAACTTTCTCTCACCTGTCCTGACCGTCTCTCACCTGTCCTAACCGTCTGTCTCACCTATCCTAAATGTCTCTCACCTGTCCGGACTGTCTCTCACCTGTCCTAACCGTCTGTCTCACCTATCCTAACCGTCTCTCACCTGTCCTGACGTGTCTCACCCGTCCTGACTGTCTCTCACCTGTCCTAACCGTCTGTCTCACCTATCCTAACCGTCTCTCACCTTTCCTGACGTGTCTCACCCGTCCTGACTGTCTCTCACCTGTCCTAACCGTCTGTCTCACCTGTCCTGACGTGTCTCACCCGTCCTGACCGTCTCTCACCTGTCCTAACCATCTGTCTCACCTGCCCTGACCGTCTCTCACCTGTCCTGGCCGTCTCTCACCCATCCTAACCGTCTGTCTCACCTATCCTAACCGTCGCTCACCTGCCTTAACCGTCTGTCTCACTTTCCTGACTGTCTCTCACCTGTCCTAACCGTCTGTCTCACCTGTCCTAACCGTCTCTCACTTGTCCTAACCATCTGTCTCACCTATCCTAACCGTCTCTCACCTATCCTAACCATCTCTCACCCGTCCTGACGTGTCTCTCACCTGTCCTAACCGTCTGTCTCACCTGTCCAAACCGTCTCTCACCTGTCCTGACCACTTCTCACCTGTCCTAACCGTCTCTTACCTGTCCTGACTGTGTCTCACCTGTCCTGACCGTCTGTCTCACCTATCCTAACCGTCTCTCACCTGTCCTAACCGTCTGTCTCACCTTTCCTGACCGTCTCTCACCCATCCTGACGTGTATCACCTGTCCTGACCGTCTCTAACCTTCTCTCACCTGTCCTAACCGTCTGTCTCACCTATCCTAACCGTCTCTCACCTGTCCTGATTGTCTCTCACCTGTCCTAACCATCTGTCTCACCTATCCTAACCGTCTCTCACCTGTCCTGACGTGTCTCTCACCTATCCTAACCGTCTCTCACCTGTCCTGACATGTCTCTCACCTGTCCTAACCGTCTGTCTGACCTATCCTAACCGTCTCTCACCTGTCCTGACTGTCTCTCACATATCCTGACCATCTGTCTCACTTATCCTAACCGTCTCTCACCTGTCCTAACCGTCTGTCTCACCTGTCCTGACTGTCTCTCACCTGTCCCAACCGTCTGTCTCACCTGTCCTGACGTGTCTCACCCGTCCTGACCGTCTCTCACCTGTCCTAACCATCTGTCTCACCTGCCCTGACCGTCTCTCACCTGTCCTGGCCGTCTCTCACCCATCCTAACCGTCTGTCTCACCTATCCTAACCGTCGCTCACCTGCCTTAACCGTCTGTCTCACTTTCCTGACTGTCTCTCACCTGTCCTAACCATCTGTCTCACCTATCCTAACCGTCTCTCACCTGTCCTGACTGTCTCTCACCTGTCCTAACCATCTGTCTCACCTATCCTAACCGTCTCTCACCTGTCCTAACCATCTGTCTCACCTATCCTAACTGTCTCTCACCTGTCCTGACTGTCTCTCACCTGTCCTAACCATCTGTCTCACCTTTCCTAACCGTCTCTCACCTGTCCTGACGTGTCTCTCACCTGTCCTAACCATCTGTCTCACCTATCCTAACCGTCTCTCACCTGTCCTGACGTGTCTCTCACCTGTCCTAACCATCTGTCTCACCTATCCTAACCGTCTCTCACCTGTCCTAACCATCTGTCTCACCTATCCTAACCGTCTCTCACCTGTCCTAACCGTCTGTCTCACCTATCCTAACCGTCTCTCACCTGTCCTGACTGTCTCTCACCTGTCCTAACCATCATTCTCACCTTTCCTAACCGTCTCTCACCTGTCCTGACGTGTCTCTCACCTGTCCTAACCATCTGTCTCACCTATCCTAACCGTCTCTCACCTGTCCTGACGTGTCTCTCACCTGTCCTAACCATCTGTCTCACCTATCCTAACCGTCTCTCACCTGTCCTAACCATCTGTCTCACCTATCCTAACCGTCTCTCACCTGTCCTGACTGTCTCTCACCTGTCCTAACCATCTGTCTCACCTATCCTAACCGTCTCTCACCTGTCCTAACCGTTTGTCTCACCTATCCTAACCATCTCTCACCTGTCCTGACTGTCTCTCACCTATCCTAACCATCTGTCTCACCTATCCTAACCGTCTCTCACCTGTCCTGACGTGTCTCTCACCTGTCCTAACCGTCTGTCTCACCTATCCTAACCGTCTCTCACCTGTCCTGACCGTCTCTCACCCATCCTGATGTGTCTCACCCATCCTGACGTGTCTCACCTGGATGACATCCACCGCCAGAGGACTGAAGCGGTATTGGTCGAGCAGTTCAGGTGTGCTGCCGCTCAGCCAGCTCCCTTCTTCTTTCTTCAGAGCAGTTTTCAGCCACAGCTTCACTTTGTCCTGCAGGAGAAACGTTTCGTTTTAATGTTTCAGCACTCTGAATCTTCTGCAGCTTCATTTATACACCAGGTTCTGCTCCTTCCAGAACCTTTCAGCAGCGAGTACATTTACGTCTCTTTCCAAACATTCAGCCTTTGTTTGACTCCTTTAACATGCAGGTAAACAACAGGTGACATTTTCTTTGGGTCAGTAAGACGTCCACAAATAATCCAGTATTATATAGTAAATAACCAGACCATCAGATTTACAGTACGCCAGATACTTTCACGAGGAACCAGATCCAGATCCTTCTCTGAAACTGTGTAGACACAGCAACACAAACAAACTCTTCTGACTGTGACTGGCTGACCCCAGTTTAGACCGACTGATACCAGTTTTACCTCTTTGTGGGTCAGGTACTGGTCCTCCAGGCGGTTCAGATCTTCCGGCAGCAGCAGAGAACCCAGGCAGGCCGTCTTTATCTTTCCTTCCAGTTCTTCATGTTTTAATATTTCACTGAGGAGGAAACAGACAAACACGACGCTTCAGACTGGATCCGGACCCGAACCCCTCAAAAACGAGATGGTTCATCTTGAGTGGTTTATCCAGCTCAACAAACATCATGAAGACCTCCTGGTTCCGTACTGGAGCTTCAGCAGGACAAAGTATCAGCAGGACTCACCGTGGGTAGCAGTGGTTGATCCAGAGTAGCAGGTAGCTGCAGTCGTCCGGTTCCGGTCCAGAAGCAGCCAGTTCAGTCAGCCGAGCAGAGAATCTCTGATGGTAGAGTCCAGCGTACATGTTCAGGATGTCCATCTGTGGCGGGTAACAGTCCTTCACCGTCCTCACCACCGTCAGCAGGTCCTCCTTCAGGCGCTTTCCCATCAGACAAACCTGCACAGGTGAGTTAGTTACTACACAGCTCCTCAGAGACTCAGAGATGTGACATCTGTGAGTCCAGATCTGAGAGCTTCCAGAGGCTGATGGTAAGGTGATCTCCTGACAGGGGGGTGTCATTGAAGAGGAAGTGGAGGTTCAGGGGGTTGTTGTGTAAACTAGTGACTGCAGAGAGTGTGAGTGTCAGACTCACCTCCCTCTTCAGAGGTGAGTTCAGTCCGTCGGTGCCACTCGAGTCCTCCTCCGCCATCTTCATCAGTCTGGGCTCCACCAGGTTCTGCAGCAGAGTGTTGTGAGTGCTGAGACACTTCAGAGGACGCCACACTGGGACTCGGCCCTCCAGGCAGCCTGTCCAGCGCCGATCCTGCACCTCCTGCTGCTGGATGGAGGCCACAGCACTCCTCAGGACCTCCAGCTCCACCGAAGAAGAGGAGGAGCAGGAGGAAGAGGACGTGAAGGTGTTTTGGATGGCCATCCATATCTGCAGTCTCAGAGCCTCGAAGTCTCTCTGCAGCTGGTCCTCCTCCTCCTCACTGGAGGAGTCCTGACTGAACAGCTGCTCCTCCCTGTTGATCAGCCTCCTGCTGATCTCCTCCAGCTGCTCCTCCTTCTCCTCCTGCTGCAGAGCCTCCTTACAGCCCAACTCATCCTCTGCAAAAAACAGGAGACGGTGAAGCAGAGCAGGGAAGAGATCATAATAAGAATAGTAAGAATAATAATGGATTTAATGTAGGTGCCAGTTTAGCACTGAGACGGTTTTGTCCACAAACATGTTGTGGTCAAAGTTCCGTCAGTTATAGCTAAGATTCAGTTGGTTCTTGATGTTCTCTTAAATTCTGACATTAGATTCTGTTAGTTATGTTCTAATGGTTCAGTTGGTTCTAAACTGAGTTCTGCTGATTCTGACCCGATGGTGTTCTGTTGGATGAATGATCTATATAAGGTTCTGTTGGTTCTGACCTGCATCGTCAGTGTTCTTCTGCTGTCTGCGGTTCTTCCAGATCTTTGCAGGATTCATTACTTTCGGAAATCTCCACCTCTCTCTGTCTGGGTTCTCCTCAGCGCCTCCTACAGAACATTTGACACCAACTTTATCGTCAACACATTCTTCAGTACAATAATGCATAAACTCCAGCATGATAGTAAGCACAGAGTTCATGTGCTCTATTACATCTACCCAAGTAACTTGTTAGAGTGGTTTTACTCTTACTTGAGTAGATTTTTTGAGAAAAGTAATTGCTTTTACATTTGTACACATTCATCGTGCTACTTTTATTTACACTGCCCAAAAAAATAAAGGGAACACTTAAACAACACAATGTAACTCCAAGTCAATCACACTCCTGTGAAATCAAACTGTCCACTTAGGAAGCAACACTGACTGACATCAATTTCACATGCTGTTGTGCAAATGGAAAAGACAACAGGTGGAAATTATAGGCAATTAGCAAGACCCCCCCAATAAAGGAGTGGTTCTGCAGGTGGTGACCACAGACCACTTCTCAGTTCCTGTGCTTCCTGGCTGATGTTTTGGCGGTGCTTTCACTCTAGTGGTAGCATGAGACGGAGTCTACAACCCACACAAGTGGCTCAGGTAGTGCAGCTCATCCAGGATGGCACATCAATGCGAGCTGTGGCAAGAAGGTTTGCTGTGTCTGTCAGCGTAGCGTCCAGAGCACGGAGGCGCTACCAGGAGACAGGCCAGTACATCAGGAGACGTGGAGGAGGCCGTAGGAGGGCAACAACCCAGCAGCAGGACCGCTACCTCCGCCTTTGCAATGCAAGGCATTGAAGCTATGAACCGGCCCGCCCGTTCCCCAGACCTCAATCCAAGTGAGCACATCTGGGACATCATGTCTCGCTCCATTCACCAACGCCACGTTGCACCACAGACTGCACAGGAGTTGGCGGATGCTTTAGTCCAGGTCTGGGAGGAGATCCCTCAGGAAACACCTCCGCCACCTCATCAGGAGCATGCCCAGGCGTTCCATCACCATCATCACCACATCACCATCATCACCACATCACCATCATCACCACCATCATCACCACATCACCACCATCATCACCATCATCACCACATCACCATCATCACCATCATCACCACATCACCATCATCACCACATCACCATCATCACCATCACCACCATCATCACCATCATCACCACATCACCATCATCACCATCATCATCACCATCATCATCACCACATCACCATCATCACCACATCATCACCATCATCACCACCATCATCACCATCATCACCACATCATCACCATCATCACCATCATCACCACATCACCACCATCATCACCACATCACCACCATCATCACCATCATCACCACATCACCATCATCATCACCATCATCATCACATCACCACATCACTACCATCATCACCATCACCACCATCATCATCACCATCATCACCACATCACCACCATCATCACCACATCACCACCATCATCACCACATCACCACCATCATCACCATCATCACCACATCACCATCATCATCACCATCATCATCACATCACCATCATCATCACCATCATCACCACATCACCACCATCATCACCATCATCATCACATCACCATCATCATCACCATCATCACCACATCACCACCATCATCACCATCACCACCATCATCATCACCATCATCACCACATCACCACCATCATCACCATCATCACCATCATCACCACATCACCACCATCATCACCATCATCACCACATCACCATCATCATCACCATCATCATCACATCACCATCATCATCACCATCATCACATCACCATCATCACCACCAGATAGAAACAGAGAAACAGAGGCTGTGTCCGAACTCATTATATAGTGAGCTCGCCATTTTCTAGTGCTGCCCAAATGTATTGTGATAATTATTATACCCTATATAGTCCACTCAATGTATCCCAGAATGCATTTTGAAAAGTAGTGTACAACAGATGGTCACTAACCAAGCCCTACATACCATCATGCATTGCGTTGATAGAAAAAACTGATTGTCTGACAGCAATGACGTAATTAACGCCGCCGAAATAACAATCGGAGTGTCTGAAAGTGTTGTTTTAATAGAGCTCACTAGTGCTCTACATACAGCTCCCTACAGAGGGGGCAGGGAGTAGTAAATGAGTGGGGATTTCGGACACAGCCAGTGACTCACCTCTGCTGCTCTGCTGAGACATCATCAGGACCAGGATTTACTTTAGCCCAGACTTCACTAACAGGGGCCGGATGATCCAGAATCTGCTCCCTCAGAGACCAGCTGTCGTCCGTAACCGGGTCTGGACTGCAGGCTTGAGTCAAAGCATCTCCTCCTCACGCCCTGATCCAGTTTCACTTTCACTTTCTGTCTGAGCTCACACTGCAGTTTAAAGATACAACTCCTCCTCCCCTCCTCTCCTTTTTCCATCCTTCCCTCCTCCTCTACCTCCTCTCCTTTTTCCATCCTTCCCTCCTCCTCTACCTCCTCCCATCCTCTCCTTTTTCCATTCTTCCCTCCTCCTCTACCTCCTCCCCTCCTCTCCTTTTTCCTTCCTTCACTCCTCCTCTACCTCCTCCCCTCCTCTCCTTTTTCCTTCCTTCACTCCTCCTCTACCTCCTCGCCTTTTGCCATTCTTCCCTCCTCCTCTACCTCCTCCCCTCCTCCCCTTTTTCCTTCCTTCCCTCCTCCTCTACCTCCTCCCCTCCTCCCCTTTTTCCTTCCTTCCCTCCTCCTCTACCTCCTCCCCTCCTCTCCTTTTTCCATCCTTCCCTCCTCCTCTACCTCCTCCCATCCTCTCCTTTTTCCATTCTTCCCTCCTCCTCTACCTCCTCCCCTCCTCTCCTTTTTCCTTCCTTCACTCCTCCTCTACCTCCTCCCCTCCTCTCCTTTTTCCTTCCTTCACTCCTCCTCTACCTCCTCGCCTTTTGCCATTCTTCCCTCCTCTTCTACCTCCTCCCCTCCTCTCATTTTTCCTTCCTTCCCTCCTCCTCTACCTCCTCCCATCCTCTCCTTTTCCCTTCCTTCCCTCCTCCTCTACCTCCTCCCATCCTCTCCTTTTTCCATCCTTCCCTCCTCCTCTACCTCCTCCCCTACTCTCATTTTTCCTTCCTTCCTTCCTCCTCTATCTCCTCTCTTTTTCCAACTTTCCCTCCTCCTCGTACCTCCTCTCTTCCTTTCCTAACTCCTCCTCTTCTCCTTCTCTACAAGTAACATTTCATGAAAAGTATCTGAGCTGTACTGATGATATCACAGAGCTTGTAGCCAATCAGACGTGAGCTGAGCCAGAGGGTCTGGGCTGTGAAGTCTCACCTGTGTGTGTGATGTCACTGCATACTGACGTCCTCTCCTCTGTAACTCGATCGATCCTCAGCTGTTAATAATCTATGCAGCTGTGATCAATAATAGATGTAGAAGACTCATCAGGTCAGAGGTCACGGCTCAGGTGCTGACTGGGCAGAGGTAAGCGTCTGAAATAAATTATATTCACTAGCAGGGACACCAACACACCATCAGTTATACATTATATTAACTAGCACAGACACCAACACACCATCAGTTATACATTATATTCACTAGCAGGGACACCAACACACCATCAGTTATACATTATATTCACTAGCAGGGACACCAACATACCATCAGTTATACATTATATTCACTTCCACAGGCACCAACACACCATCGGATATACATTATATTCACTAGCAGGGACACCAACACACCATCAGTTATACATTATATTCACTAGCAGGGACCCCAACACACCATCAGTTATACATTATATTCACTAGCACAGACACCAACACACCATCAGTTATACATTATATTCACTTCCACAGGCACCAACACACCATCAGTTATACATTATATTCACTTCCACAGGCACCAACACACCATCGGATATACATTATATTCACTAGCAGGGACACCAACACACCATCAGTTATACATTATATTCACTAGCAGGGACACCAACATACCATCAGTTATACATTATATTCACTTCCACAGGCACCAACACACCATCGGATATACATTATATTCACTAGCAGGGACACCAACACACCATCAGTTATACATTATATTCACTAGCAGGGACCCCAACACACCATCAGTTATACATTATATTCACTAGCACAGACACCAACACACCATTATATTCACTAGTAGGGACCCCAACACACCATCAGTTATACATTATATTCACTTCCACAGGCACCAACACACCATCAGTTATACATTATATTCACTTCCACAGGCACCAACACACCATCGGATATACATTATATTCACTAGCAGGGACACCAACACACCATCAGTTATACATTATATTCACTAGCAGGGACACCAACATACCATCAGTTATACATTATATTCACTAGCAGGGACCCCAACACACCATTATATTCACTAGTAGGGACCCCAACACACCATCAGTTATACATTATATTCACTTCCACAGGCACCAACACACCATCGGATATACATTATATTCACTAGCAGGGACACCAACACACCATCAGTTATACATTATATTCACTACCACAGACACCAACACACCATCAGTTATACATTATATTCACTACCACAGACACCAACACACCATCAGTTATACATTTTATTCACTAGCAGGGACACCAACACACCATCAGTTATACATTTTATTCACTAGCAGGGACACCAACACACCATCAGTTATACATTATATTCATTAGCAGGGACCCCAACACACCATCAGTTATACATTATATTCACTAGCAGGGACACCAACACACCATCAGTTATACATTTTATTCACTAGCACAGACACCAACACACCATCAGTTATACATTATATTCACTTCCACAGGCACCAACACACCATCGGTTATACATTATATTCACTAGCAGGGACACCAATACACCATCAGCTATACATTATATTCACTAGCAGGGACCCCAACACACCATCAGTTATACATTATATTCACTAGCAGGGACCCCAACACACCATCAGTTATACATTTTATTCACTAGCACAGACACCAACACACCATCAGTTATACATTATATTCACTTCCACAGGCACCAACACACCATCGGTTATACATTATATTCACTAGCAGGGACACCAATACACCATCAGCTATACATTATATTCACTAGCAGGGACACCAACACACCATCGGTTATACATTATATTCACTAGCAGGGACACCAACACACCGTCAGTTATACATTATATTCACTAGCACAGACACCAACACACCATCAGTTATACATTATATTCACTAGCAGGGACACCAACACACCTTCAGTTAAACATTAGGTAAACTGCCATAGACTTTATAATTAAAACATTGGCTACCGAAGAATTTGATTTAACTTATATCTAACGTTCAAGCACACACAAAGTGGACACTTCGACACGATCGTTATATTACAGCTAACATAATATTAGCAGAATAAAAAGACTGTAAAAAGAAATGTCAGACTTAGCGCTGCTCCAAATATTCCCACAGAGACAGTGTAGAATAAGTTCAACAGCTTGTGCACCTGTGGTAGTAGATTTGTTGCCATGGGAGAGGAATTCATTGCCGTGCTGTGCACGGAGAGTGTGAAGGTCAGAATCACTATGGAAGACGGGAAAGGGACCGCCCCCTTTTCAGCTGCAGACACAATCAGGCTCCAGAGCAGCTGCCACTCTCTGTTCAAAACGCTGCTCCAGTTCACTATCAAGTCCACCCAGAACTGCAAAGTATCATCTCCTATAATGATCTGCTGGGTTCGGGAATGTGTGTGTGGGCTCTCTTCCTGCATGCAATTTAGCATTTTTGTAAAACTCCTGAAAAACGTTATCTGTGTTTGAATGAAGCTTTTTGTCAAAGCCACAGCCTTCTGCTATCCTGTAGTGAGATGTTTCCAGTCTGTCAGGTCCAGAGGTGGAAAGAGTACAGAAATATTCTACTTACCTAAGTAGAAGTATAATTACTTAAGTTACTGGTATAAATATCTAATCAAGTAAAAGTAAAAAGTAGCTCATTTAAAATTTACTCAGTTAATTTTTAACCTCCTTAAATAATTTATTTATACTGATTTAATATCTTATTTATACTTGTATATAAGGGAACAAAGCCATATCGCTCTTTCAGTTTTAGTTGGCGGGCTGCACTGGGAAAATGGGAAACACTGGACTGTATATGAAGTCATATCCCTTTTTACATTCAGACAGGTGGTAATTTTAATGGGATATCATAATGGTTAGTATAATAAATGACCAGTTAGCAAGCAGCAGGTTGCTAATGTCAGCCAACACTGTCATGCACCAATGTCTTTTTGGCTATTTTGAGCAAAGCATCTTACCAAACTATGAAAACTTTTTAACCACCAATGGAAGTACTAACCTCTACATCAGGGGTCCTCAATTACATTTGTTCTAAGCAGACACGGTGGGGGCCGGACTTTCAATTGTCACATTAATAGTTTCAACTTTTGCAAAATAACGTTTTTATATCAGTGTGAACAGACGCTGATCTCACTTACACACAGATTGCATTTCCTGTCACTACTTCAAAAATAAAGTCAACTTGTGTGTCACCAGTTATATGGTTTTAATGTGAAGAATCCGTGCATGGTTCGTTCTTTCATTATTTCGTTTCAAAATCAAATCGTAAAAATGGAGAAACGGAAAACCAAAAACAGATCAACAAATCTGTTTTGTTTTTCTGTTTTAAACCCATAACAGAAAACAAAGGAGCTGCATTTTGTTCTATCTTTGACCGGTGTGGTGTCCTTACAACTCTCACTCCCCCACTCCTCATAAAATGCATGGCTGATCTGAAGCAGCTGGTTACCGGAGCGATCTAAGATAGTACCTGAATGGGTTTATCAAGGGTTTTTTCTCGAGGCTATGTTCAGGGGGAGCTTTACTCCTCTTAATAAGACATGAGCTCCCCTGAAAACATCGTTTGTAATATTTTGGGGGGTCTCTAAAGCATCCACAATATGCTATTTTTGCCATTCATTTCTATTTTTGGCGGTTGTGTTGCCAGTGGATCCGGCGCAATGGACGGTCAGTGGTCGTTCCCTCTGGCTGAATGAAGTCCATGTGTTCCTTCAGCTCTCCGCAGCGCAACTTTCTAAATTCTTCCATCTCAGAAAACAAAGGTCAGGTCGAAACAGTGTAGCCTAGAGAGGCTGAACGAAAATTACCTGAACCTTTTAATCCGTGTATGATTCGTTAATATACAGCTCGCCAATTTAACTAATAACAGTTAATGTTTGCTGTGTACCACTGGATGTATTGACAACTATCAGAAAGTGTTCCTGTTCCAGTTGCTGGTGAGTTACAAACTGAGCCTCCGGTACTAATATTGTAATATTGTATT